TTATCAAGTCTGTTCTGATTCATAATGACACTGTATAGGATTTTGGAGGAGCAGCTGGTAAATTTGAACCACCGACCTTATGGTTCAAATCGACCTTGCAGTCTGGTGCTTATCCGACAGTGTCACACCAAGACTCCCCAATACTATATATATCATATATTAAATATTTTATACTCCAAACCAAACCCATTGCTATCCTGTCAATTCCGACTCACAGCAACTTTGTAAGACACGCTAGGATAAGCACTGGACTGCAAGATCAGTTTGAAGTGCAAGGTCAGCGGTTCAAACTCAGCAGCTGCTCCTTGGAAACCTTATACAGAGTCACTATGAGTTGGAACTGACTCAATAGCACTTAACAAAACAACAAAATACAGTATTGGAAACCTGGTGTGGCACTGTAGGATAAGTACTGGACTGCTAACCACAAGGTTGATAGTTCAAACACACCAGCTGCTTCTCAGAAACCCTATACTGGGTCAATAAAAGTCAGAACCAACTTGACAGCACTTAACAACAACAACATATAAATAGTATCATATCATCAAATTAATCTAAATATTACTGAAGGATTATATGTGACAATTTGTTCCATAGTCTATTTAAACATTTTGGTATAGGAGCTGTCATACTTTTCTGTAAAAACCAGGTAGTCTTTTCTGTAGTAGTGTGAAATCAGCCATAAGCAATAAATAATAGGTGTGGCAGTGTTCCAATAAAACCTTATTTTCAAAAACACATGATAAACTATTCATCCCTGTGCCCAAACAAGTTGCTGTTAAGGTAGTGAATCTTCTTTTTAAAGATACCCTGCATGCAATCCACTATCTCTTCTTTTAAAGGATCATGTTTTCCAGTATGCGCCACACCATTTATCTCAGCAAAGACTTCATGTTACATAATTTACAAAATACTGTTTTCTTTATTCTTCCCTCTTATTCCTATTACAGAATTCAATATTTAAATATTCAACAATTATTTTGCATATTTGACTAGCGTAAAATATTTTTGTTGTTAAGTGCTATAGAGACGGTTCCAACTCACAGCGATCCTGTATACAGTTTCCTAGGAGAAGCTAGTGGTTTTGAACTACTGACTTTGTGGCTAATGGTCCAGTGCTTATCCTACAGTGCCACACAAGGACCCCATAAAACATTCTAGAGTTAGGTAATTTTCATCAAACAAGAAATATTGCCTGGGAAACTTTTAGTCTTTCTATGGTCTTTAAAGTTTGTGGGGATACTACATTATCATTGCATTTTTCCACAAACTTTTTGAAGCCCCCTTGTGTATCTAAACAACATGATAATCTTCTCTTTGGATTGGTCCCTCCTGGTAATATGTCTGAAGTATTAGAGACAAAGTCTTACCATATTGATTTCTAAGGAGCATTCTGGTTGTATTTCTTCCAACACAGATTTGTTTGTCTTCTATCAGTCCGTGGGACTTTTAATATTCTTCTCTAACGCCATAACTCAGATTGGTAGAATTCTTCAGTTTCATCATCACTGACTTTAGTGGTTGGTACATAAATTTGAATAATAGTGGCATCA